TATTAGATTGATCAGTATTGCTGATCTATGAAATATTTTGGGTGCAGTGTGTTTTGTTTTTGTTTTTTTTTACATACATGTATAACAGAATAGCTTTAGTGTTGTTCTTGTTTTTTAACTTGAGTATGAACTTATACAAAAAGCAGCAAGATATTAAAAAAACAGTTTTATTGATTAAAAAACACACTATATCGGATTCATATCGGTATCGGCAGATATCCAAATTTATGATATCGGTATCGGTATCGGACATAAAAAAGTGGTATCGTGCCATCTCTAGTAGGAATCGAGAACCTGTTCTTATAGAGAACAGTAGCCCAGTTCTTCGGAATTGTTAGTCAGCTTACTTATTGATGCCACTTATTGGTTCTTGCGCTCGCACTACAATCAGTTGATTTACGTTCATGAGTCGGAGGAAGAAAGTAGTGCCGCAGTCTACACCATGGATAAGGACATTACTTTTATTTATATTGCACAACAGGACAAGAGTGCAATGTTCAAACTGCATCCAGGACAGAAACAGATACATTATGCTGCTAAGTGCTAACGTCTGCGCAGACAGCATACTAACACTAAGCTAGCCAAGAGCCCAGAATGATGTTAAAGCTGAGTGAATGCCAACCCAAGCCCAGTGCTGTTGGCTTTGTGTTCTACTCACAGAGGTTTTGTGTAATTTCTTTGATATGCTCTTTAGCGATAGTGGTGACACTCAAAGGGGAGCCAATGAGAAATTCGTATCAATTCCATCAATTCGCAGTCAGCAGTGCAGAAGGCAAGCTCACAGAGACATAAGTACCTTGAGTTTGCGATATTTCTGACGGGCAAGATGTCCCAAACAGGCAGCCTGTAGGTGGACCAGCCAACCAGTGACCTGCTTCTCCCTCTGCTGCTCCAGATAGCACAACACACCTCGCTTCATAAACACCTAACGCACAACGGGGGGAAAATGTATGAGCCATATCAGCACGAAATAAATTCAGCTGCTCGAGTACAAACATGTTCTTACCCGGCTGGCACCCACGAGGATGCTCTTTTTATCAACATCCAATTCAACCAGCAGCTCTTCCACTGCCTGACACATAAGCAAACACAAAAAAGATGTTTACTCACAGACATGATGCTGAACAAGAAAGGGAGCTGCTGCCATGTGCCATCTGACCTTTCTCTCATCGTGGCTGACAAACACTGAAGCGTAACGTTTCATGACTGAAGGAGCAAGAGCCTGGAAATGACACCTGAAATCCCCCAGAGTCATGTGCTCTGAATAACCTGCAGACAAACATGGCCACAGATTGATTTTTTAATTTGCATCAGGAATATTTGGAAAAAGGGCGAGAACATATATATATATATATATATACAGATATGTGTGTGTGTCTCTGTGTGTGAAAAAAAAACACTCGGGGGGTCTTGATCCTTCAAGTTTTACTCTCTCTCTTAGCTATGATCCTATCTCTCAGGTCAGTCACTCTCGCACTCAACACCTTCAACACAACTGTTGTTCTTGGGTACCAATGACATCTCCCCCCTGACGTGATGTCAGGTTTTGTGTTCACCTTGTCAGTCTCTAGTTGTGATAGGTGTTGCTTCTTCCAGATATCGGAATACCAAGCTGCTAGTTGTTTTGCCATTAATGTATATGTTGGGTGTCATAGATTCCAAATAATAGATGTGATTTACTCTGAAAGATAACATATTTTACTTGCAGAATATTTGCCTTTTAAACATGTACAACAAAACAATAACCCTAACCCTAGAATGGTCACTAATAGCTTTGTACTTAGTTTACACACAGTGTTACAGCTTGAAATATTAATGCATGAGCATGCATACCTATGCGGTATAGCTGCAGAGCTGACAGGATCTGTGTGGAGTGCAGTTGCACCCTGAGGGCTGGGATGTCAAAACTTCCATTGTCAGACTTTGCACTGACACACTGCAGAAACACTGGCCTGGCTCGACGGATCAGATTGATAAGAGCATCCTGCATGGTGGGAAAAGCAGCAAAGAGGGAAGGAATCCAGTTACACTACAGAAATAGATGAGGATTTGATAGTGAATGCTCTGGAAACTTACTGCCTGGAGTTTTACTGCAATACACTGGGAGTGTCTGCGTATCGCTGCCATTCCCCCACTGAATGTCTTCCTGATGGTGCCATTCCTCTGCAAAGAGCGCTGGCTGCCACCCTCTAGTCCCCCCAGAGCCCGACACAGGGGGGGCAGAGAAATTCTTGGGGTGAACATGGCTTTCACAACCCCTCTGGGGAGGGCAGAGAGAGAACCTAGCTATCACAGGATGTCAAAAACATGTTTTTGACATTTTACTTGACATCACTACAAGTGTGTAGCTGGTATGTGCTGTGAGTAAATGAATCATGTATGGATGAACCACACTTGTTCATACCTGCTAATTAACAGTTGTTAGTTACTTCTTCAACAGTATATGGGCAGTCTGTTCCATGAAGTCATATAAAAACTTTCTGGGCAAGGAATTCTGAAAGTCCTGGAGCAGTGGTTCATGCTTCCTGAGATGAATATCTGTGCTCACTGCTAGTTTTTAAAATGGTTTCTTAGCAAGAAAGTGTCCAGATGGAGAAGTTATTAAAAACATTCCCCTTCTCTACATTTTCTTTCTTCTGTGCTGCCAAAACACCTGAATTTGTTTCCCTAAGGTTAATAAAAAACTTTTCTCATCTTAGTTTAATCTAATTTAAACACAGTACAACTATGTGCATATGTTCAGTTTAAACACCAAGATTAAAAGGAGACAGTAGCTTCTAAAAGAGGAAAGGAAACTGTCCTATTTTATTAGCACTGTTTCTGTCATTAAAACCTGTTCCTTTTGCAGGGTCATAATAATTAGTTTTACTTGGATATACAGACTTTTGACCATTTAATGACATCTAACAACCCTTTAATTGTTTGAAAGGCTTTCACCACTCTTTTAGTAAAATATTTTCCCAGGGCCATTTGCCAACTGGAGCCTACTAGAAGATATTCATTTAGACATGGCATCCTTGTGGGGCAGCCCCCAGGCCTCTGACTTACACAGTGGAGTTTTGGAGCAGACAGATGGTGTTCAGAGCAGATGGGTTGTTCTGGATGAGGCTGAACCATCCAGCCAGATCGTATCGGACAGGATCAGACCCCATCAGGTGCTTCACCTCACACTGCAGCAGCTGCTCACACTGTCGCACTGCAAGGACAAACAAACACAATTAATTCATACTCTTTAAGTTATATGGTGCTCAAGTTTTCACTAGCAGTGTATTTTTTACCCATGTTGCTGTAATACTGGCACACTCTTTCCACGGCCCTGTTTTCACAAGAGGCTGGCGTCACCATCTCCTCATCCAGAACCCATAAAAGACCTCTGGGGTCTTCATCTGCTGCGCGGACCTGAAATAAACACACACACACACACGTGCTTTTCAAGCATACATTGGGTTAAAGCATGATGATTTTCTATTGGTCAGATGGAGGATACAATGAAAAGTGAAGTAGAAAAACATTTTTATGCTAAAAGTCACAGTACATGTAATTTCTTGAACAAGATAAATGCTGGCAAACAAGCACTGTTCTTCTGGCTTCTTTTAAGGGGAGCAGTAAGGACAGACTGTAATAATAATGACAAGGAGGAAAAGTATTGGTGCGCCTATCAGGCTACATAACCTCCAGTTGTAGGTGCTGCTGGTGAAACTATTCCCTCCCTTAATAATCAAACCCAACTCAGACAAGTTTGTCAACTTTTGATAAACTGTTATTTGGGTTGTTGCAGCAGGGCAGGGGATGATTTTAGGTAAAACAAGAAGTCTCAACAAGCCTCGTAGTCTCATGCGTTCAAGACAGAAGTTATTTCTGGAGTCTCTAGAACTATTATCATATAACATTATACGACAGAAATTTAAATGAGACAACTTTAAGATTCCTGCGTAAAGTTGAAAACATCAGACTCCTGGTAAGATGTCATGGCTGTTATCCTCATGCTCACATTTACGTCTTTTTTACGTCACATTGCTGCGTACCTGTGGAGGTGGCTGGTCAATGGCAGAGACCACCTCGGCCGGGCTGGTCTCTGGACATTCAAACTCCACGTGGATCTTCTCCTGCAGCAGACAAAACATAAAATCGTTCCAGCAAATGTATTTTTCTCACCTATGCACTTTTCTCACTCAGTAATAATCGGTTTAACTCATTTTTATGTGTCATTTTCATCAAATCGGAACATATTTGTTGTAGATCTAACAATTTTATTGTTAGATCTTTCGTTAATCTTTCATCTTTGACAGACATGCTATCACGACTGTGAAGATCTCACAAAGATATTAGCATACTCAGTGAAAACCAGTTAGGGCTTAAGTTCAGGGGATAAAACTGGTACTCTTTTGTTAAAGCTGGTGTTAGTAAAGGCTGAGCAGAAAGGATCCTGGACACATTCCAGTGTGGCTGACATTTTAAAATTTCTGTGTGTGAATCCCATTCTGGCCACTTGCACATGTGAGAAACAGATCTCTTCTGGTCTGCAATTCTGTTTTTTAATGTGTGTAATTGTTATTTTATTGATTTTCTTGTGTTTTAAAGCTCCAAAGAGGGATTGGCTATAAAAACTCTCACTCGGACCTATATTTACAGTATTTTATTTGAATTTTTTTTTTCTTTTTTGCTTATTTTTCAAAGGGAATGCCCATGTGATTTCTGTCATCATTTACTGTATTTTCCTTTATTGTTGTAGATGAGTTTTAGATGAGTTATTGATTAAACTGAATCTCTTTAAGATTTTGTCAATAGAATGTTTCATTGAAAAACTTGAAACTTGAAAAACAATGCATGTGATTCAATGTTCCGATCGGTGTCTCAATGTTAGAGTCAAAACTGTTATCAAAACCAGCAATTTTAACCTCATGACCTCAATAAAGAAGTCAGAGGGATATTATAAGCAATTAGGATCTTCCTGTGATCATGAATGTCTACATAAAACTTTATTTATCCTGTATGTACTCATTATGTTTACAGCATCGATGAGACTGAGGTGTATATTCTTTCAAGTCCTTCCTTTTGGGAAGCACCTTCAGCAGATCATCTGCCTCCATCTTACCCTGTCCCATATCACACCAAACCTCTGTATGTCCTCTTTCACTACATCCATGGATCTTCTCTGTGATCTTCCTCTTTTGCTCCTGCCTGGCAGCTCCATCTTCATCATCCTTTGTCTGATATATCCACTACCTCTCATCAGCATATGCTCCATTCATCTCAGCCTCACCTCTCTGAATCTGAACTCCTGATTTTTAATCCTGTCCATCTCACTCCCTTCCAACGAACTGAACATCTTCAGCTCTACCACCTCATTTGCAAACCATACATCACAGCAGGTCTCACTACCATCTACCATCTCACTACTACAAACTTTCCTTTTAGCTCTTGCTGCTACCCTTCTGTCACAAAGCATCCCTCACACTTACCTTCACCCATTCCACCCTGCTTGGACTCTTCACCTTTCTTGTGCACTGTTTGTTGCTTTGGATGG